AGGTTTAACTTCAGCCTATTTATGTTGTAAACTGTTCTTTATATATGTATAAAAAGTCTTCAATTCAGATATTGGGATGGTATATGAGCTCTTTCATGCCTTTTACTTACAAGCTGATTTTGTTGGTGAAGGAGGCTCGCCTCCTGTAGATGACGAATCCGCCTTTCGACTGCCTGCAGATACAACGGGGAGCCGGCTTTCCAAATAAATAAAAGAGCTAATGCGACAACCGGTTCATAAATTGTTTGAGCTTCCATAAAAGCCAAGGTTTGTTTAATCAATTTCTAAACCCTACCCCAAATACCCAAGATCTTTGTACCAATTGGCAGAGTTGTTTAATCAATTTCTAGCCCCATGGGTTTGATGATGGCAACTAAACTTCGATTCCTTGCTTCTAACAAGTAACAACCTTGCTTTTGTATGGGTCGTGTCACTTCTAGATTCAAATGCATGTCCAAGATTGGGTGATTTAGATGTAATTAGCAACTCTTGAGTACGGTTTTACATCTCAACTTTTGGCTAGAATCAACTAAATAAGCGATCTATAAATTGAATTAAAGTGATTAGTAGGTGGTTAAAATATTATTAACCCATCCATGTATAAAAAATTGTTAAAACATACGTCTATATTTGATAGACAAACATATAAAATTAACTCTAAAATGTACTTGTGATTTTAGGAATGATGAAATTTTAATATTACCTAACATGTAAGGATTATAGGACACAAAATTTACATGATTGAGGTCTAGTTTAATATGGATCTTGAATATTGTCACGCATACGTAAAATTAAGAAAAGGAAATTAGGCCCAACGCCTGAAACCAACCCTAACACAATCAACCCAATTTAGGTGGGTTGGTTGCTCGTTGATTGGGTGACGATGGGTTTCAACAATGTCAATCCAAACTTATTAGGTTGGTCAAATCCAACCCGAACCAAAATAAACGACGACCACCTCCGCCTTGAATAATGTCACACGGGTTTTGAAGAGACGAGTTCTACCCATGCCTCGTGTCACCAGATTCCCTAATTGCTATGCAAGTTCAAGAATTCATAACTAAATTATTATTAAAGTCAATAATACTTCAACTGTTTCAGGAAAAACATCATATTTATTTTATTTACTTATTAATTTAAATCAAATACTTCAACTGTGACACTTAATTACTCCAACTATAAAAAGTAAATACTAAATTTTGGTACGAATTGGGCGGGGGCTGCGCGGACGCAAGCCCCCAAGGCAATAAATTATGACGTAGGCTCTCCCACTTGGGGAGACCTTAAGCAGGCACCCCTTCTAAGTGCAATGAAGGTCACCAACCTAGGCCATGAGCCTTCCTGATCGCTCATTGACCCCGTCCAGGTAAGTATGTTGCTACGTTGCTGCTCGCTCCTTTTTATAGCACTTACTCTGTTCCCTTACGTCTTCTAGCCGATGTGGGAATCCTGCGCATTTTGTCCATAAGGCTACAAAATTTTGGGGATTTCTCTCACATTCCATTTGACTTTCCTGATAAGCCCTATCCGTGATGAATGTGGGACATCGATTGTGCTTTATGCACACAACTTTCACGAGCTGAGAGACCCCATGGAAATATAATATGGGATATAAATTGAGTGAGAGCTCAATCCTTTTTGCTACACGATGAATTGAGTGCAAGACTTACCAGTTCAAACATAATATTGAAATATTGATATCATTTTTCCTTAAATATTCATGTTTGCACATGAGTGTGCCAATAATTGCACTAAAAAAGTTAAGACGTAAAATCACACAAGCATACAAGCAACACGAATGTTTATGTGATTCATTTAACCCAACCAAAGTTTTAGGCAATCTCCGTGTCCACTTATTTTGTATTTTCATGTAGTGATTAGTGAAAGGAATGCTTTTAGAAGAGACGTCAGAATCATGTTTTCTAATTTCAAATTATGTTTTTATCTTTCAGTAATTAATTATGTATGTAGCCACATAAAGAATAGGAGTCACTACTGTAATATCCTATGTATTTTTAGATGTATGATTATATGGAGCTCATTGGAAAACAAGTAAGATGGTGGGTAATTTTGTCTTTTGTGGGACCTTCGAGTTCAAGACACTTGGTGATCAATATTATATTTTATTTAAATAATACTTATTGTAATGAACGTGTGGTCACAAACGGATGTGAATTCGGAGTTAGAACGAGTAGGTTACAAATTTTTAAAGTTATCTGGCAAAATGGTAATTTTGGGAGGGAGTATTCTAGAAGCCAAAGGCTTCTCTTCTTTTTTCTTTCCCTGGAGGCAGATGAAGCAGGGAGGCTGCTGCATTCTTCTTCCCCTTAATTCTTATTCACTCCAAAAATGATAACTTTCTCATACAGCAACGAAATCACTCACGGTCAAAGGCTAATATTTATAGCAAAGCCCTCTTCAATTTGATATCAAACCCATATGCTGGAACCAAGCGTGCTCATATATTGAAGCCTAGAAGTTTTGACGGTTTTCGTGGGTTTTTCGCCGATTATGGCCAACCTCGCCGAAGATGGGTCTCGACCCAAGAGAGAAAAATACTCTTCTCATCATGCACTTCTAGGATATGATTTGTGGTGATGAAGTTGATTTAAGAGCGTAGTAGCGAAGTGGCTGATTGATGAACAACTTTGGAGGTGAGAACCCAAGAAACCCTATCATATTTTCTTTTTGGTTCTAATAGATGAGTTAATTTATGTTAAGTTCTTGGTGTAAGTTGGATGAATTTGTGTGAATTTTTAAACTTGTAACTAAAGTGGCAAAGAATTGGTTTAAGTTGATGAGTAGGCTTGCCGTAAGCCTCACCTTGGATTTTGGGTGATCTTCGGCTAATTATATTCATGTTGGACTTGATGGAGGAATTATAAGAAAGTTGTGGAATCTGGTTATGTATATATAATTCTTTGTTGAGTATTAAGTAAGTATGTGACCGTTAAATAAAAACTAGACGGCAAAAACTAATTTGGAGTCAATTATTCGAAGGAAGTGTTCCAATATTGCATGATTGTTAATTTTGGAAATTTGACAAGCAATTGGTGAATTATGAATGACTTGATCCCGTTTGAGAGTAGTCAATAAAGTTAGATGCAGCCATAAAATGATCGAATTTGATTTATGATGGTTAATAGAATATTGATTAAACATTATTTTATTTTGAGTCTATCACCGTGATTCTGTATTATTTATATTTAATTTTAAAATTTAAATTTTGAAATAATTTTTAACCTAAGATCCCTAAAAGAGAAAATCCAACGAGATCCTCTTTTCCCCACAACAACTCTCTTTATGTAAATTAATTTTCACATATTGGACGGCGAAAAAACCCATATGAATTTGAAAATAGAATTTTAGAGGGGCCGCGCGTACACAGCCCCACTACCACAAATTACGACGTACAGTCTCCTCTAGGGAGATGTTAGGCAAGTGCACCTCCAAAGTGCAATGGAGGCCACCCACCTAGGCCATGGGCCTTCTTGATCACCCATTCGACCCCGTCCAGGTATGTAAGTTCATGCAGGCCCGTCCCTTTATTATTTATACCCCCTCGCTTCCCTGCACTTTCAGTACCTCATCAATGTGGGACTGATCGACACAGCCACCAAAGCTTGCAAACGAACCAGAATGATAATCAGTCTCACCATTAACCTTTAGATAGCTCCCCCTTCTGAACCAGGATCCTCTCTTGAGCTAAGGATGAGGATCCTCCTCATCAAGGGATCTAGGCCGTTGGATGAAAATCTAACGGCTACGATTATTATAATTTTAAAGGGACCTCCCTGTTTGTAGCCGTTGGATTTTCATCCAATGGCCCACACTTATTGATGAGGAGGATCCTCATCCTTAGCTCAGGAGAGGATCCTGGTCCCCCCCCCCCCTTCTACCCATATTTTTAATTTAAAAAAAAAACCTAGCATTTTGCATCCCAAATGTTATAAGAATCATGCACCAATAGTTAGAGTTTGGTTAACCTCGATTTAACTAATTTGGCTAGGTCATTGTTATTCTCTCCTTTGTATTCAACTTCGAACAATCTGCTTTCGCAGTTTAGATTAGTTTAATTAAAATATCGTTCAAATAAAGAAATAGTCCTGCAATTACAAAAAAAAAATGACAATTATTCCATATTACCACCGAAGGGAAAACGCAGTTTAGATTAGTTTAATTAAAATATCGTTCAAATAAAGAAATAGTCCTGCAATTACAAAAAAAAAAATGACAATTATTCCATATTACCACCGAAGGGAAAACTCATAGATTAAAATCAAAACATATGAAAGCCATTGGGTACATTTATCATTTTATAGAAAAAATTATCAGTAATCTTAACGTATTTACAGAGAAGGAAACATGACAGACGTTGATTTCATCGATCTACATATGATTGGTACGATCACTATTGAACTTGGCTTAACTAACTCTATCTACGAGCTTAAGCAATGGACTTCTTCTTGGAGATTTAGCAGCTAGGCCATTATCAGTAATCGTAACGTATTTACAAAGAAGGAAACATGACAGCAGTTGATTTTGTTGATTTACGTCTTATTGGTACGGTCACTATTGAATTTGGCCTAGTTAACTCTATCTACAAGCTTAAGCAATGGACTTCTTCTTGGAGATTTATCAATCTAAGCAGAAGACAATATACGTTATTGATTATTTTTTTATTTAAAGGTCATTATTAGTAATCGTAACGCATTTACAAAGAAGGAAACATGACAACTGTTGATTTATGATTTGGAGGACTTTTAAAAAACTAGGAGAACGAATTGGATTTAGTAGTTCAATTTGATTAAATAGAAAAAAGAGATTATATTCACACATCTCAAATTACTTCTCCCGCATAAAAAAATATTAAAAAGTTATGGAAAAAAATAAATTTAAGGTGTGAATATAATCTCCATTAGGAAATTGGTTTTGGGCTTCGAAAGTATCAATTTTTAAGGAAAACATATAGACCATCAAATTCATATTCTTTAGTTTGGGCAGGGGCTGCGCGAACGCAAGCCCCCACGGCAACAAATTATGACATTGACTCTCCTACATTGAGGAGATCATAGGCAGGCACCCCTTCAGAGTGCAATGAAGGTCACCAGCCCAGGCCATGAGCCTTCTTGATCGCTCATAGACCCTGTCCAGGTAAGTACTTTCTTCGGTACTCGTCCTTTATTTTTATACCCATACCGCCTCATTTCTTTGACCTTAATTGGTCGATGTGGGACATGCTTACTGATCAGCAGTAATCCAAAAATGTAGTTCGAAGGTTTTTTTTAAGGTACTTTGGAAAGTTCATGGATTGTTAGACGAATTATTAAGTGGGGGCAGCAGTGGCAAAGCAACGAAAGCACAGGGGAGGAACCGCCCATCTGGTTCGTCTGAGCTTGCCGAAAAATTTAGTTATGCAGCCTGCGTTGAGCTTGTCGGAAAGTTGGCTGAGGAGAGCCTCGATTGACTCCATGGTCATTTGGGAGAGCCTTGATTTTACCTTAGGAGTGTGATATCTACACACCCTATTTTACTTCTCACATACCTTTTTAATTTTTGATCTTCCTATCGAATGAATTGAAGAATATCAACGGACAGAAATTATCAAGGAGTATGTGGATAACACATCCCTTACTTTAATGTTGTCGTTTTTTTTAATATAGAAGGAGGACAATTAATGGCAAGCCATAGTTATTTTAATGAAACATTGAGGATAGATATGTACTAAGAGAAAGGATCCTCGTCGGATCCTTTTTGTAAGAATTTTGGGGATCTTCCAATCATATTCATTCATCGTACATCGTGCGGTCAGTTTTTATCAGGTACTGTTTATATTTAATTTTAAATACAAAATTTAGAATAATTTTTTATAATATGATGTATGATAAACATATGTGATTGGAGGATCCGACAAGGATCCTCCTGGATGTACTGATACCCCTTTCCTTATCCTTTAAAACCCCACCTCACCTGTCCCACCAATACAACAACCAAAACATCTATTTTCATATATTTTGACTTTTGCAATATATATTTATGTAATCATTTTATATAAAAGAACCAAAGCATCTATTTCCATCTATTTCCGTATATTTTGACATTTTGCAATGTATATTTATATACCATTATTGTACATTAATGCATATTTTTGTTAACGTATCCATGCCGTCTTATATCCTAATTTTTAGAAAATAGTTGTATCGTTGTATTTGTGTCCCTATCCATACCACATAGTTATTATCTAAAAGGATTTGGTTGTTTTTATTTTTCCAGAACTTTTTACCCTTTTAAATTTCGCAACCCAGACGATTTCTGATTGCGCCACTAAAAGGGATGATTGAAAATTTAGGAATGTACTTATTTATGAAATATAGTTTAACATAGTAGTCGGTTTATTATGTATGCAATTAGGATTAAAGAAATGTGGAAGGGTCTAACTCTAGACTATAGTGGTTGTTGATTATTTGAAACCAAAAGTGTATTTTATTGTTTGGAAATGAAATTTGAATATTTTATTATTTCACAACTAGAGCCGGTGAAAACACGGAATAATGAAAACGAAAAATCCTTACTCGACGGTTGGAAAGCTCTCACAGGATGAGAGAAAGCCTCGAGAATTGGAACTCTACCAATCTAATTTGAATTAGATTGGTGTGGAATCATAATCAAATCATTTTGAAATTGTTTACTGTTTTCTTGGCCACAACTAGAGCCAACAGAAACACGGAATGATGACAACGAAAAACCCTCACTCAACGGTGAGAAAGCTCTCACAAGAGAAGAGAAAGCCTCCATAATTGGAAGTCTACCCATCTAATTTGACCGTATCTAATTCATCTCTTTGTCAGTAGTGTATTACACTCTACAATTTGCAAGGCATTATTGTTTTTCTCAGCAAGTGCTCCCCTGGACCACACACTCTAATTTGGGCTTGTCACATTCAATTTTCCCTAAATGAAAATTCTTTGTCACTTTCAAGATTAAAATATACCTACAGAGGAAGAAATGTTCCATAAACCAAGGAGAACAAGGACAACCTTCGTGTTTGACTGAAACTTAACAAACAAACGAATAAATAAATAAGTATATAAATAAACGCAGTAGTGCCATGGAAGTGCAAGGAGCCAAATTCCAGAAATAACAATACAATTTTCTTTCTTTCTTCCTTATCTCTGCCTGCAAAAGATAAGGTTGGCCTTTATTTCGAGTTTCACATGATGTATTAATATTTATTGACATAATTGAATTGTTCATTGGTTATTAGCATTTGGGTACAAAATATATTGCTTGAAATCTTGAAAATCGGCTGCTAAATATTGGACAAATTCCAGAATTACTATTCTGTTCTTTTTGCTCTGCTTATGGTAGTTAACTGATTTTTTTTTTCTTTTTTTTTTAAAGCTAAACTGCCAATTTGCCTCCTGAACTATCACGTGACTTTCAATTTCTCATCTGAACTTTTTAATTATAAAATTAAGGACTTAAACTATTTTTTTGGCCAATTTTCCCCATACCATTAGTTTTTCATAGATTTCATCCAAATTAACGTTAACTCTTATCACATGACTCTCCTTTATGGACAAAAACGTCACTTCGCTAAACCTTTAGACACAAAAGCTATAGAATCACACATATTTGCATAGTTATTTTTTAGAAATCTAAGGTTTTTAATTATTTTAAAAAGTGAAGCGATTGAACTATCCTTGCATGTTGTGCACATGATTCCATTTAATAGAAATTTGGATGGAATGAATGAAAAATTAACAGCAGGAGCAAATCGGCCAAAAAAATTAGTTGAAGTCCTTAATTTTCCAATTAAAAAGTTCAGAGGTAAATTGAAAGTTAGGTGATAGTTCAGCAGGCAAATCGACAGTTTACTTTTTTTTATAATAATTATTGGTTCTTCAAAAGTTAGGTTGGGAGCTTTTGGTGTTCTTCTGTGCAAACATTCTTGTTAAATACTTGATATTTTTGTTTGTTCTCTATTTATTTTCTGCATATTTTGGGGTCTTCTGGTTTTGATTCTGTTGACTATTTCAAGTGATTTTCTAAGAGGATGAAAAGATTAAGCCTTTTCGGGTTTTCTGGTTGCTTTTGTTTTGTTGAACGTTTGAATCTGTTTTCCCTTCTTTCACAGCTTGCTGCAACACAAGATAAATATGGAAGTCAAATTTGCAATCAAGAACGATGTCACCGAAGTAAGATTTCTCTTCATGAAAGTCAAGCATTCAACTTTAATTTGTTTTTATACTTTGATTTGGCTTACTATGCGCTCTCGTTGTACTCTTGGTTCTTGCAGCTGATTGGAAATACCCCGTTGGTATATCTCAACAATGTCGTGGATGGTTGCGTAGCACGAATTGCTGCCAAGCTGGAGTCAATGGAGCCCTGCTCAAGTGTAAAAGACAGGCATATTCTTTGCACTTTTTCCTTGGGAATATTGGTTTTCGTTTTCCTAGTAGTACGACAGCAATCAAAACTCAAAGATTGAATATTGAAACGCGTTCAGTTTCATCTTAAATTGTTATATGCAGGATTGCATATAGTATGATCAAGGACGACGAGGATAAAGGTCTAATTACGCCAGGGAAGGTTAGCTATAAATCTTTTCCATATCTGTAGATGTTTTTTTCAGCATGTAATGGAGATTTTAATATGCATGATCGAGAATGTGGTGTGGCGTGGCGTGTTTCATGTTTCAACGAACTAACTTCCCTTGGTTCTTAATATGCATGATCTTCGGGAACTGAAGACTGTTCTCATTGAGGCCACGAGTGGCAACACGGGCATTGGATTGGCATTCATTGCAGCAAGCAGGGGCTACAAGGTTAAGCTAACCATGCCATCTTCAATGAGTATTGAGAGAAGAATTGTGCTCCTAGCTTTCGGGGCTGAGGTGTACCTCACAGATCCTGCCAAGGGTATTAAGGGAGCTTTTGATAAAGCCGAGGAGTTGTTGAGTGACACGCCTAATGGTTATATACTTGGCCAATTTGAAAATCCTGCCAATCCGAAGGTAACTTTTGGAGTAACTGTGACAAAGTCCGAAGGTAACTTTTGGAGTAACTGTGACATGTCTAGATGGTTGAGAGAGTTTATGAATCGTTATATGACCATTGGTGTAGATTCATTACGAAACCACTGGCCCGGAGATATGGAGAGACACAGGAGCGAAGGTTGATGCCCTGGTTTCGGGAATAGGGACTGGGGGTACAGTTGCCGGTACAGGGAAATTCCTTAAAGAGCAGAATCCAGAGATTAAGGTTGAGTTTTGTATGTTTGTATTATATATACAGATATTACACGAGTATGTGAGGAGAAAAGTTATCAATAAGCATTTTCTTTTGTGTAGGTGTACGGTGTAGAACCAGCCGAAAGCCCAGTCTTGAACGGTGGCCAAGCTGGTGAGTTACTATAATGCCGGCGTTTTCCTCGTCTCTGGCTCTCTGCACTATTGCTTTCTTTGCTCGTGAAATTCTTTTTCTTGTAGAACATATTACAACAGAACATGAAGAAGATGCTACGTTTTTCAGATAGCTTTCTTCGTCGTTAGAATGTTAAACAATTTGCATGGTGTTACATTATAGTTTGATTCGTTTAAGTGGCCCATCTGTGGTTCAGTTTCTGTAGTATGAAATTACCATTCGATAGTATTTGAGATTTCGTCCTCCTATATTGACTGATGCATATGTGGATTTGTAATATTCTCGCTCGTGTTAAAGGGAAGCATCTGATCCAAGGAATCGGTGCTGGTATCATACCTGCAGTTCTGGACGTTAGCTTGCTCGATGAAGTTATTCAAGTTAGCATTCAACTAATTTTATTGCATTTCCAGTTCTATAAGTTCTTGTTTCATTTTGGTGCCAACAACTCTAACACAAGCACGAATTTCTCACTAACGACTGCTGATGTTTATGTAACATTTTAGGTAACGAGTGAGGAAGCAATTGACACCGCGAAGCAGCTTGCCCTGAAAGAAGGTCTTCTGGTATGGTATCAATTTGTTGACATCGCTTTCACTTTTGTGTCAGTGCTAGGAGTTTGTTACTCTCCATTAGATTCTTAGACGAGAAATTTGAGACTCCTCTTGTTGCACGCATTCATCATTTTTCCATTTACGGGGCTGATTGTGAGAGCAAATTAACATTGCAGGTGGGGATTT